CCCGTCCCCTTCCGTAACCCCCAGCCCCCTTGGAGGGATGGGGCTGAACCCCCCCGCCTTGCGCAGGAGGAGGGATGCTCCCACCGGAGGTGGGTTGGCCGGTCCACGGCCACGCGTGAGCCCCTTTTCACCCCCATGGCGGCACCGTCCGGACCCCAGAGCCCTTTCCCGCAGGTTGGCTGCCCCATCGTGTCAAGCCGAGCTCCATTTTCCCCCAAAACAGTTTCCAGTGATTTTACAGCCACGGCTCTCCCGTGGGGAGTTGGCCATCCCCTGCGAGAGCCAGATGAGGCTACAAAGGGATTTTCTCCTGGCGGTAACAAGCTGCTTTCAGTTCTCTTTCTGCCTGGGTTGGCTTGCCATAGGGGCCGGGTTGTTTCTGACACCTCGTAGCGCGATGCACGCCGGACTGCTGTGTGCCATGGGGTTTTTTTACGGTTAAGTTTTAGCAAGTGAACCAAGAGCAGCATCTCTTCGGTGTTTCCCGTGCACCCCTTGCCATAGGAACTATTCAGCTTTTGTCTTTCCACGGTGGGATTTCAATAGAGGAGGCCGAGGCGCCGACAAAAAAGGGGGTCCTGCCTGTGAGCAGGGGTGCCTCGGTCCCCACATCACTACGCAGGGGGTCCGGGTCCCGCTGTCGGGCGGCTCTGTGTGGCGCAGAGCTCTGTTCCCAGGCCGGGGATGCTGGAAAGGAGACGACACTGCACAGCTGGAGCCGGCTTTATGTGAAAGCAGTGTGCGTGCTGACTTCTAGAGAGCAGATTTTTCTCTCCCACTATCGATCGCTTCTGTCTTGTGCACAAGCTGTGAGGTTGGGGGGGATTTTTGTGCAAAAAGGTGAAGCCCTGAGTCGTGGAGAAGAGCTGTGAGCTGTGCAAGCATGTAAGGAGGTTTTGCATGTTGCAAAACATCTGTGCCTCGGGTTTGTGGCAGCTGTCCCTCCTTCCCCAGCTGCCAGCCAGGGTCCTGGCCACCACTGAAGCCTGCAGTGCATACCCCAGCCCTGGGACGGGGCAGGGACCGTGCCCTCCCGGTGTCACTGGTGGGACAGAGGCCTTTCAAGGAGGGTGGGATGCCTCTGGTGTCACCTACATAGGTATTGGGTAATAGCAGAGGCAGCAACAGGGCTTGAAATGTCCTGATTTCATGCTGGTAAAAGCAGTTACCTAAATAATAACCAGATAATCCTGAGCATGGGGCCTCCAGCCCAGGAAATTGGCATTAACCTAATGAGAGCTGAGCACACATGTGGAGAGGCTCCTTCCTGCTGCCTTGCTGGCCAGGGTGGCTGTCTCTTGCCGGGCACCTTTCTTTAGTAACATGCCTTCTGCCGGCAATCCAATTAATGCTGGCTGTAAGTAGGAAAGCCTGTATAAATGCTGGGCATTCGAAAGGCACCTGCTCTTGCACAAGTGTGCCAGCATAATTAATCCAACAGCCCAATCACTGGCTTGTCCCTCTTTGGGAGGATTTTGGGGTTTTATTTCAGAGCTGGGATCTTGCAGGAGCATGCTTGCTGTATTTTTATTTTTATCACAACATTGTTTAAATGAATGACTTGCTTGAGATTTCGGATCTTTTAGCTGAGTTTTAGTTTTTGGGAGCTGGTGTTGCTACTGAAATGTTGACTTCATGACTTTTCACCTTATTTTCCCCAAGCGGAGTGGTTGCGGCCTCAAAAATCCAACGTGTCAAAGAACGAAGCAGTGAGGAGGAGGTAATATGTGTATAATTAGGCGCATATATTACCCAAGCGTATACAAGGCTGGCTATAACCCATATCGAGGCCAGTGAGAGCAGCTAGCGCTGTGCGTGGAGGTGGGGATGGAGCACGGATGTAGGCACAGCACTAGTGCAGGGCTGGGAAAAGAAACCCCGGCCAAAATGCAGCAAAGCATCCAGGCTGCCTGGCTGTCTCTCAATGTGGGAAGGTGGGATCTGGCTCGGATGCAAGTAAACTGAGAATTTGGGCTCTGAATCCTTAAACAGGTTTAATCTGGACTGAAAGTCCCTTGGAGCAGAAATTTGTTGATGAAGCATTAGTGCTCACTATTTTCTGGATAAAGCCCAAAGTGTGAAATTGTCCGTGTCCCCTCTGGTCCTACGGAGACTCCTGTAACCTGCAAAGGAGGCTGCTGTTCATGTGCTCCTTCCCCGCCCCCTTCTTCATTTTAAATGTTCCTTGGAAGTCCAGTGCTCTGAGGGTGCTCACTGTTGGCAGAGCTCTCTGTGCTTGTATGGATTTGCTATCTCCTGGGCACTGCCCACGTCCCTTACAGGCTGCTGGACGCTCCGTGCTGTGGTTTGGAAATAGAAATGTGCTGGGAAGCACCTTGCAAGCTGTGAGGGAGTGGCTTGCAAAAGTTAAGGCATGTTAGTATTATTGCCAAATACTGGTTTTTAAAGTAAGTCAGATGTTAAGGGCTACCGGTAAGTCAGCGAGTGGGAAGAAGCCTGTTGAAGGCAGGATGGGACCAAACTCATGCTGATAGCACGGCCGGCTCCTGAGTGATTCCTTCCAGGGATCCAGTCTGCTCCACGTTTGAAAAATGGTTTGAGCGAACCCATGCTGGCTCCGGTGTAGGAATGGCTGAGTTATGCCATCCACACCCTCCAAGTTACGTTCGTTTGCTTGTCTTTAATGAGCGATTATAAGAGATTATCTTTTCCCTTATTACCTGTTGCTCAGGTTTTTGGTGTGTTGAAAGTCTAATTAACCTTCCTGCAGGAATACTGATGTGGATGATTTTTTTTCTATTTTATCTGTGTGCTGGAGCTCCTCTTAGCATCTTTTTTATGGCTTGACATCACGGCTAAAGCATCTGCCGTGTTATCTGAGGTTTCGCTGGATGGGTTCCTTGCAAATGGAATGGGGTTTGGGTAGGAAATAGAATAACCAGTGGGTTGTTCTAACAAGAATTGAGCAGGGATTGCCACAGGATGGCTGATGAAACTATTGGGTAAGGCCAAAAATATTTCTCAGTTTGCATTGTTTTTCTCAAGTGTCTGGACATCTTGATTAGAAACATTATGGAAGTATTCTACTAAAAGTTCTCCCTGCAGAATTAAATAATCCTATATTAAAAAATGCACGCCCCAGTAGCAACATAAAGCTATAAAACACAGAACTGCCACCAGTGCAGAGAAAAGCTCCTTGCCCCAGCGGGGACAGCCTTCCCAGAAGGTGATGCTCTGCTTTGCTGACCACTAAGCAAATAAAGCCAGGAGTTCACAAGCAGGCTGAGGACATTTCCGTCCCCAAAAAAAAGATGGGGCTACACGTCCTTTCTGTGCCTTGGCACAGGTCCTTGCGCTGCTCAGTGCATTGCCGTACCTCTCGGATAGGAGCTGCTGGGGTGGGTTTTCCCCTGTGGGGATTGCCTGCTTGATTCGGTAGGGTTCAGGCTGCTGGGGAGAAAACAGAGCCATGGGTCCCATGGAAACATGGTCATGGAGGTGGGACCTCTGGAGAGCGTCCATTCCAACCCCTGCTCGAGTAGGGTCAGCTGGAGCAGGTTGCCCAGGACCATGTCTGGTTGGGTTTTGAGTGTCTCCACAACCTCTCTGGGAAACCTGTGCCAGTGTTCACCCATCCTCGCAGTAGAACATTTTTTTCTTACGATTAAACAGAATTTCCTGTATTTCAATGTGTGTCCTACCATGGGCCACCACTGAGAAGGGTCTGGCTCTGTCTCCTTTGCTCCCTCATATCGGGTGTTTATACACCTGATCCCCCGAGCCATCTCTTCCGCAGGCTAACCAGTCCCAGCTCCCTCAGCAGAGGTGGTGTGTGTTTTGTCCAAAATAAAACCATGCCCAACAGCACTGCCTTTGAGGAGAAGATGGGTAGAAGCTGCTTCTTTGGCCAAGAGGCAAGGGAGGGGCTTTGCACGCAGCTGTCCCCTTGCCCTTCTGTGCACAAAGTCTCTGTGGGGACAGATCATGCTGCTGGGATCTTGGCATGGCTGCAGGGTCAGGCGGGCAGAGAAAAAATACCCTCTGGAGCTGCCGGGATTTTTGAGTCTAAGTTAATTAGAACTGTTCCCACATTAAGCTCGGAGAGGCTGGGGGGCTTGCACAGGGTTTGGGGTGGGAAGGTGTGATGGGGAGCAGGGCAGAAGGCTGCAGGAGCAACGGGGAGATGCTGTCTTTCATCCTCACAAATGGATGCTCACAGTTCCTCCATCCTAGCTGCTCAAATAATATCTGGTGTCTTTAGCAAATTCATGTGTCTGATGCCTTTGGTTTCATGGCAGCACTTCCTGGTTTGAACCATGGTTTGCGTGGTCAGGATGTTTGCTAAGGTAAAAAACTCTGACTGCCTTCCCATTCCCCCCTTCTCCGCTTCCTCCTCTCTCCAGGCAGCACATTGGGCTGCGAGAGGGGATGCCATGGAAATGGGCACTTTACCCTGTGAAGGTAAAAGGAGGCAGTGTGATGCTGTGGTAGATAATGCTGCCTTGCCTCTCCCCCTCACTGCAGTAACAACAACCCCTACGCCTCCTTCGGAGCCACACTGGCACGGGACGAGGAGCAGAACCTGTGGAGCACCCCGCATGATGTGACCCACACGGAGGCGGATGACGACCGGGTGCTGTACAACATGATCGTGGTCAGGAACCAGCTGGACAAGGACTCGGAGGTGAGGCAGTGTTCTTCCTCACACTCAGGTTTCACTGTGGACCAAGGCTCAGTGCTTTGATCGGATGCTTTGGCAGTGCCTTTATTTAAGCATCCATTAAGCTGCTATAAAGACCCCAAAGTCCCCCAACGTGGCTGATGTAGGCATCAGGTCCTCCCGTCTGCTCCATCACCCTCCACATTTTATCCTATATCCGGTGTGGATGCATCTGTAGGCATCTCATCCCTGGGAAGCTCGGGGATGTCTCCAGCAGCTGAACCGGGAGAGACGCCCTGAGCTGGGATGCACGATGCCCTGCAAGCACCTCTACCACCACCACCCACAAATGTGTACTGGTAGCACTGGGACCCCCAGCTCAATTTCCTAGCTTCACAGACTGCTTTTTTTGTCCAATATTTCCCTGGTTTGGCCCTTCTGTGATCAGACCGGCATTAGCCCTGCCTGCAGCGGTGTTTGCCTGGCAATGGCAGCGCCTGGAGCTGAGCTGCTGCTCCAGTGACATGTCAAGTTAAATACTCCTCTAATGGGTTGTGCAGCAATTATCGAGAAGCAGAGAACTGGCACAGCTCTTAGCACAGAAGGGAAAAATCATCGCTGTTACATAAAGGCTGTTTTGCAGCCCTGATTTCCTTCGCTAAAGCACTTCTGTGCAAAGGAGATTTCAGTGGCCTGATTAGGAGCAGGCTGTAACAAATAGTGACACGTTTTCCCCTCTCTGATTGCTTTTAAGACTTCAAAATGTTTGCAGGAAAGCCTGGAGGCTTCACATTTAATTTCAATATGATCCCACTTCATCCAAGAGACCGCAAGACTGTAACTCTTGCTCCTGTGATAGTCCCCTTAAATCAAAAGCTAGCTCAGCTTCCACGAGAAGCCTTAAACTCCAGAGGTACAGCTCCGATCAAAATTACAATTTTTAAAACTTAAAATGAGATAATGCAATCCTTGTATGCAGTTGGCCAGAATCACCATTTAATGTTTGGGTTTTTTTGCTGGGGATTGAATTAATCGTGGTGTTTACAATAGGTCGTTTTGTAACAACATTTTCATGGCTGCACATAACCTGTACAGCTGTCGCAGCTATAACTGAAGATATCCTCTTCCCTCCTCACCACTGCTTTCTCTATCTTGCGATTGCTTGTCTTAGAGAAGACAGGAAGCTTCATCCAGCCCAAACTGGCTGAAGGAAATGAGGACAACTCCGTTTAGGGGGCTGTGCCGGTCCAGGGCTGTTCAGAGCTGGGTGTACTTCTGGGCAGCGCTTAAGCTCCTCATTTCAGTCCGCGCCCATTCGAGCAGCCTTTTAGCTTGATTTAGGGCTTGTTATGAGGCAGGCCTTCTAAAAGCTATTATTATTTATAAAACAGTATCATAAGTGGATGGGCTGCTAAAAAGACAGCTCCCTGGGAAAGGGAGCGTTGTGTGCCAGCCTTGCTCAGGTTGCAGAGGAGAGCATCAGTTATGGGTGAGCAAGAGAGCACTCCTGCACCTGCTTGTCCTAAATCCAATGTGCCTGCCTGTCCTAAACCCAGTGTGCCTGCTTGTCCTAAATCCAACGCTTTCTCCCTGCCTTCAGCGTGTCCATAGGGTTTTTGGCAGGTCTCAGCAGTCGCTGTGCCTGCCAGTGAAAAAGGAAAGTACGAAGAGCATGGGGCTTCCTCTCCACAGCAAATGTAAGATCACATACCCTGGTTTTCTATGCAATGCAATTAATAAAAAAGCCCAAGGAGTACAACATCAGGCCGACTTTGAAGAAAGCCAACACACGATACACTTCGTTTGAATTACGGCACAGTGCCCTTTGCAGCTAGTGATTGCCAGTCTCCCTGCTGTCTCTTTTTTACAGCTAGGGAAACTGAGGCACTATGTATAAGCCCAGCAAGCTGCTGCAGTTTCCAGCTGCAGCTTTTTCTGGGTGGCAGAACAGGGAGGGACTTGGCCAGCAAAGCCAACATTCCTGCGTTCAGCCCTGGGTGCCGAAATCTCTCCTTACTTCAGCAAGCATGTTAAAACTAGGCCAGATTGCGTTGCCCTCCCCTCCTAATCAGGCTTCAGCCCTGAGAGAGAGAAGAAAAGTCCAATTGCAAAACAGCACTGGGCTGCAAAAGCCATAATCTGCTTTGGGAGCTGCTCTGCTGCCAGGGTCCCCGGGGACAGTGTGTGGATGCTGCAGGACAGGGGATGGAGGAACGGCTTCTTGTTTATGCAGGGCACAAGTGTTACAAAACCATAGGTCCTTTTTTTCTCTTGGTTAAAATCAGACTGAAGGGACAACTAGTCCCTCTATTTCTGCTTCTTCATTTAACAAAGAAATTTCAGCGTGCTGTGCACTTACTGTATGCTTTGCCATTCTTCACCTTTATCTTTGTGATTTCCTAGCACAGGACTTTGGAAGGATCCCAAAGAGCAGGTCGCTCTACGTCATGTGTGTTTTGTCTGTATGGCACCAGCTTGGCCTCAAACCAGTATCGCGTTTTTCTTAATCTGGCTAACCCAATTCTGTTTTCCTGGATATTTTCTTTTTTTTAAAATGGTTGTTCATGTAGTGACAAGGTGCTGTGAGCTAGGACAGGAGAAGAGGTGGGCCAGGATGCAGTGGTGACATCGGCACAGTGCTGGAAGTTAGCGGGCATGGTCCATGATGGCTCTCTCCTGGCCTGGGCACCTCTGCGCCATGGATCACTGTAAATCAATAAACCAAACTGCGTATGTGAAAGGCCAGACACTCCGACACCAAGTGCACCCTGTAGCTCAATCAATTTTCTGCATGTTAGATCATTCGTGGTGGGGCTGCCGGCAACTCACAGTGTTGGTGTCCTCCCTTGGGGTCATTTCCTTGCCCCCACCATGGGGCTGGACCCACACCCGATCCATGTGGAGCTGTTTCTTCTCCCTGCCCCCTCCCGACGGCCCCGCTCTGGGAAATTTGGCAGCTCCAGCCCAAACTTGGTGTGACCTTAGCTTGCATAAGGATGGCAGGGCTGCACCACCCTGCTCCTCGCTGAACCAGGGCAGCAAGCTCTTCAAAGTGAGCACCATGACGTCCTGGGTGCACCCTGTTTCACACCCACTTGCTCATCCTGCTCGGTGCTGTGTGCTGGGAGTGACGGCTCATGGGGCCGTTGGCCGTGGTGGAACTCACTGGAGCACGCAGAGGTTGCCAAGCCCACCGTGCAATAGGTAGATGAGGCAAGATTCGCTGGAGCCTCCTAAAACCATGAGGACTGAGCAACTTGCAGCTCCGCATTTCTCTCTACTTGAGGCTGATGAGCACGATGTGCTTGGATGCACTTTCAGAAGCAAAGTGTGGGCAAGGGAGGGTGTGCACAGAGAAAACCAGAAAAGCTGTAGCTGAAGGGCTGGCTTAAGGGGGCTGGTAAAGCTCATGCAGCCTTTGGAGATCAAAGCTGTCATCAAAGCTTTTGAAGGCTGGGGTCAACTTTTCAAATATGGAAAAAATGTTTTTTTCCTGCTCCTGCCCTGCAGCATCGTCGAACCTGTTGTGGTGTAAAGTAAAACCCCAAATCTGGAGATGAAATGAGGGCCTCTAGGAAAACAGGATGTTATTTAAGATGCTGCATAGATACAAGCCAAGTCACTGTTCCAGCACGTACCCTGCTAATGCAGAGAAAAGTGTTTTATGGGAAAGGGGGACTACTGTGCCTCCAATGTTAACAGCAAGAGTTGGGCTTTTTTGGCTTATGTGCACAGTGTGGCAGGGGGCCCCCCCCCCAAGGACCAGTTTGTGGTGGCCCTAGTGCCTCAGTGTCCTCTGACAGGGTGCATGGAGTTACCCAGCCGTGGGCAGAGAGCCTGAACTGTTGCACCAATACTGGCTTCAGAGAAGGAGCCAGGTTTAGGGCAGCTGCGCCATGGGTCTGTGAATAGAAACGAAAGGTGAGTTTTTGCATTATGACCGAGGAAAAAACACTGTTCTTATGGCTTGTTGTAAATGCAGTGTTTCTTTCTTCTTTTGGCTTATTTTCTTGGGGAAGGTGGGATCATAAACCCCACTAGCAAAGGCAATTCCTCAGCCTGCATTTCTGCTGGGGGCCTGGCTAGCAGAGCTGCGCTGGCATGATCCTCCTGGCATTAATGAGCTGACAAGGCCTATTTTTCTGCTTCCTCCTGCTCTCCTACAGGATTATTCTTTTTTAAACACATTACAGAGAAGGTCAGTATTGGGACACGCTGTTGCTGGGGCATAGAGAGGTGATGGGATTTGCCCAGGGTTGGGGATGCTGGTCGGGGAGCCCAGAACTGACCCACTTAATACATATGAAAATTTATTTATGAACTCCTGCATGCCCTTCTTAAAACTGAATCCAATTTAAGCTTATTCTAAACTGAGATGTCAGTCAATGATTCAGTGTATGATCGTGGATCTAGAGTTTGTATTTGCTCAACTCCTTCCACTGGGGAGAGTTGCAGAGCCAGGGTAGGAGCATCCCTGGGTGTGGTGTGGTACCTGCCTGGACTAGTATTTTGCAGTCTTTCCCTGATAACTCTGTTTTGACCTCATTTCCAAAATACCTCTTGAACAGAACGGTGACACCAATTGCTTTCAAGGGAATAAAGGAGAAGGTTTGGTAGAGGATTGCTTTGCCAATATGAGTAAAGCTACCTACTAATTAGGAAATTTCCGTATGAGCAGGGATGAAAAGTTGGACAGTGCTTGCCTGTTCTCTTGGCGCATTTTTTCCCAGAGCTCTCAGTTATGTACCAACCTGGCTTATATTTCATGCCCAGCATTTCCTCACTTCCATTTGGCATTTGCAGATTTAGTATATCACACTAGAGAGTCCGGGGAAGTCTTCCAGGTAAATATTTGAAGGGCTGAGCACTCAGAGGAGAGAGGCAGCAGGGTTTCCCTGCTGTTCCCAGGATATTCTTGACTCATGCACAAAGGGTTTTCTCAAGCCCCTACTGGTAAATGTTGTGCCCTGCTATGTAAGTTTAAAAGGGCAAAACTGGTTGGAAAAAACAGGTCCAGGAACTACAACCTGCTTTGGTTTCCTGTGGTTAATTCAGATTTTGGCAGAAGGGTATTTTTCTTAAAGGATTGATTTTGAATGCATTGCTGGGATGTCCCAGACCTGTAGAAACACCAAGGGGTTTGGTGAAGACCAGTCTCCCGCTGAACTTTCCCAGTACTGTGTGCAAGAAGCCTCCTCGCTGCTCCAGAAGTTACATCTAACTAGGCAAGAGGCAGGACAGGGAACGAAGGTACACAAGAAATGCAAAATGAAGCTAAGTTTTGGGAGAGAGCTGCTTGTCCCATGCCCGCACGCAGGCTCGGACACCTCGCTGGAAGAGGTTCCAGGGGGGAGCTAGCCCAGGATGCGGCACAGAGGGCAGCCTGCTCCGGCCTCGGTCCACCCAGGGCTGCCCAAGGACCGGCGTGTCCTGTCCTGCATCTCACTGGTGCCCTAGTACGCCGCAGCGGTCCCTGTCACAGCTGCAGCGAGGGCTGAGGGAGAGCAGGGTTTGGCATGGAGCCCTGGCTGCCTGCCCTGGGGCTGCCCGGCAGCGGGTGCTGAGCAGCCTCGGCCTCATGATGCCACCTGGCCCGACCAAACGCTCCCTCCGCAGGTCACCTCTTGGTGACTCACGGGATTTGCATGGGGAACGCCCTCCCCAAAGTCTCTGGTGTTGCCCATTCCTATGTGAAGATGCAGGGCTGGGCAGGCTGTGCTCTTCCTCTGCTGTGAGTTAAAGGGAGATGCTTTTTAGAATAATTTTGGGGGTGGAAAGATGCTCTTAGCTTTATTTCCCTCATTAAAGCAACACAGAGGACAACGCCCTGCCCACAGCATTTGGGATGTCTCTGCTACAAGGAATCACCCGGGAAAACTCGGTGCTTTCTAAGGCTGATGGCAAACAGGGCACGAGTCCCTTCGAGAGCTCAGCCCAGAGCTGCCCATCCTCACCCTGATAATTTCTGCTGTCTCTAGTAGTTTATCAACAGCTGGCACCATGTCCAGCATCCTCCTCCCAGCTTTCTCTGGGGAAACATAAATACATTCAGCTCCACACCCAGGCAAAAGAAATACCACCAAAACAAGAGGTCCCCCCCGGCACCACCGTTAAGCATCATTTTCTGTACCAAAGCCTCTCCTTTGCACACTCCCCAAATTCTTCATCGACAGGACACTGTTAGAGGTCCCCTGGGACTAAATATGCACCGTATTCACTTCCATAATGCAACGCGGTAACTACGACGTACAAGAAAGCCATAACCTAGATTCCCTTAAAACAAAAATAGACAAGGGAAAACACCCTGCTGTTAATCCAGAGGAAATCAGGAGCAGCTTCCCTGCATGTTAAACAGCACTGCTCGCTGTTTAGCTTAGGGAGGAGTCTGGCTCGCTACCACAGGGGGGTAAATCCTTGCAGCCCTGAAAGCTGCTGCCCGGCAAGCTGTGTTTCAGGGAGGGGAGCATCTTTCCCACCCCCCCAGCTCGCTAATTCAGCAGCGTGAAGCATGCCTGGAATCACAGCAGCTGTCTCGATTGATTGTCTGCATTAAAGCACTTGTTTATCTCCGCGGGAGGGCAGAGACACGCAGCTTATTTCCCCACCAGCATGCACAGGCTGGTTTGCTCTCCTTCCCACGTATACCGTGGGGTCACGAGCAGGCTGAGATGTTTCTGAGGGATCCCTGCCAGTGGGGACCGTGGCACCATGCGGCCTTTATTCTCTTTCTTTGAAACTTTCAAGTTTGCAATAAACTTCCCACAAAGCTTTAATACCATAAAACCCCTCTTTTCTTTTTCACTGAGAGGAGCTCAATTCCTAGCTCCTAGCTGGGAGAGAGTAGTCTTGTCCCTGCCTCCTTTCTCTAGCGAAGGGATGAAGAGGTGTTTTGATGCCTTGCGCTGGCAGCCAGGTGCCCTCCTGTGCAAACAGAAAAGCTGTTTTCAAGTACTGCTGCAGTCCAGAGAGAGACGGAGCTCTGATCAGCAAAGCTAGTTCATTGCAAGCAGCAACAGAAAGCTAAAAATGAAGGGGATTTTGCTCTCCGGGAGGATGAGCGGTGCAGAGCGAGTGGCTGTAGGCGGAGCTGCATTTCCCATGCTCTCCTGACCTGAATTCACCAGTGTCTTAATCCCACCGGCTGCTTCTTCCAAAGCATAATCTCCAAGGGGTTCCTGCAGCTATCACTGAACAACAAGAAAACAGGCTTGTTTAATCATTTAATTCTCTGCAGTTGTGGCATGTTGGCCAGGTTCAGGAAAAAAACACTAAGAAATCTCCAACTCTTTATTGAATCAAGTCAAATCTTTAAGGCACCAGGTATCAGAAAACCAGTGGGATTTCTAAAGCACAGCCTACTTCCATGGATATTGTTCAACCCCTTTGAACCCAGCGTGTCGCATAGGAAAATCCCAGGGAGATGGCACTGATGAACACTCGTTTATTCTACAAGAGTCCATCTATGTAATCTGTTGCTGAGAAATTAAATTAATTAAGGTAGTTAGTGCAGGGAAATTATCTGAGTGATGTTCTGACCCGCTGTGTGGATGCTTCTGTAAATGCATCCTTTTCAGTGTGTGCATTGATTAAACTCAGCTAGGAAAAATACTCCTGGTTTTCTTGCAGAATACATGCATTTCCACAGGAATGGTACAGATGTGTTTAATTGTGCTGGTATAACTTTAATAAATAACCTCAAAACCTTCCCCTTTAGACAGTGTCCCATTATGCAGATACAAAGCTTGAGGTCAAGTGTAAGGATTTAAGCTGTATAGTTACGTGAGGCATTAACTGCAGCAACTGGCCTCACCAAGAATAGTTATTATGTCAAATGACTCCAGCTCAGACCTCAACCATCCACGTGCATCCCTCTTCTCTGCTGTTTAAAAAAGGGTACCCCAGCCTTTAAAAAAAGTCTCTTTTTCTTGTTTTCCAGTACTTTCGAAAACCTGCCTACTCCAGTTAAATGCCAAACAGAGGGCTGAGCAGTTTGGAGAAGCCACTGTATGTGTGGCCAAACTGAGAGCAGTAACTTTTTTTCAAACTTTTAGTTTCCCTTGGGCTATCATCAGCTGTAAGAAAATGTGCCGTGCCAGTTTAACTGCAAGGATATGAAAATAAGGTGTTGCAGTAGTTTATAGAAGGTAGTTATTAATACCTGGTCATGCTTTCTGAAGGTGTGAAAGGCCGAATAAGGCATTCTCACAACCTCAGGTTTTGATACTAGCAGGGGTGTCAAGGTTTGGGGTAAAGGGCTTTGGACCAAAGAGACTGAAGTCTCTCAAATGAACTACATTTGGAAGTTCCTGTTGTTCTCCAGCCTACGAGAGCGTTATAATTTCCAGCACAGAGCTGGAATTATATTCTGTCTGACCAAGGAGACCACTTTGGTCATCAGCAACGCTTAAGCTAGATTTTATAATCCAATTTCAAGGTAACTGGAAGCCTGTTTTGTACATGCAGGGAAGATACAGAGATGCTGTACCAAATGTCAAGCTAAAATATTCTATGCTGGTCAGTGTAATTTCTTCCAGGGGCAACAGCAGCCTGGCCATCAACCTTCACACTGATCCCTCAGTGCCAGCATCAACAGTTCAACTCTGGCTCCGTTTCTAAAAGCTGAAATTCCTGGAAAAGCAGCAGAGACCTCCCCACATGCAAATGACTGAGTATCTCTTATCCCTTTGCTTTGCAGGAATGGCAAAAGCTCAACTATGATATTTATACCTTACGGCAGACCCGAAAAGAAGTGAGAAGCAGGTGGAAACACATTTTGGAGGATTTAGGTAAGCTAGAGGACAAAAGGATGTCATTTTTGTGGTACCGAGTGAGAGGTCCCGTGATTGTTGAGGATGGGAACAGCTCCACAAAATCAGGCTGGTAGAGGAGAAAGGGAGGAAAATAAAACAAGGTTGCTGAGCAATGTTGTCAGGTAGCCCACATGGCAGCTGAGAGCCTGCGGGAGACTCCCCAGAGCTCAGGCATGGCTGGGAGGAGACGGGGCCACCGTGTCTGCAGGAACATCAAAAAGCTCATGAACCACCATCATTGGGAGAGCCTTTCAAGCCCATAATAGCATGCACACTCATCCATTTCAAGCTTCCTTGTGGAAACTTAGCAGGGATACCTGGGAATTCACCCTGTTTTTTTCTAAACAAGATAAGCAGGGAGAAATAAATATTCCTTTCAGATTTGAAACACAGATACATCTGTTTTCCTTCCTTAGCCCATGCCAGCTGATCAGAGCTAAACCACCCATTTCATCTGCTCCTAAGTGAATTTGAAATATTCTTTCATCAAATGAAATTGCTCAACAGTGACCCTCCTACTCCTTCTATTTCCTAGCCTGCAAACAGTGAACTGCACCCACTGGTCCTGTGTGCTCAGCTGCTGCTCCTCTGGAGAAGGCAGGGGCGGGTGTGACCTGGTTTTCCCAATTGCCTTGCACACAGCGTGTGACACTCAGGCCAAGGAGATGGGCCGTGCTGGCACATCAGCTCGGTGACTTGCATCATGCCTTGGAGGTGGTTGGGAGCTAATGAGAGGAGGATGTGCGAGTTGAGCATGCTTGTTGGGCTGTTCAAGGATATTATCACTGGGAGCAAAAGAGATGGGTATCATCTCAGCCGCTCCTGCCCTACCTGCCGTTCTGGCATCTGGATGGGAGGAACATTATAAATTCATAACTAGGTATCAGCGTTCATCTTCACCCAGGCGCTTGCGTAGCCTGTACAGACCAAACACGGGAGGGATCACTTGACATCCTTACTTCTGTTACTGCACGTTGTCAAAGGCTCTCCCAGTCATCTCCCTCATGTCCACAATGGCTCTGGAGCTCTTTTGCAAAGGTTGGGGAAGCCCAAGGCCAGGAATCATTTGGCCTTAGCGAAGCTAGATGTGCAACCAGATGTGAAACCTGCTATCTTTTGTTATCTAGACTTGTGCTTTAATCATAAGACCACCA